GTAACAGTATCTAATTACAGAACATTTTAATCACCTCAAAATAAGTCCACACCATTAGTAGTGTCTAGTAATTGTCCAATCTATTAAATAGGAGTCCTTCAAAGCATTCATTTGTTATGGAGTTTTTTTTATGATCTCCTCCTCATTAATTCCTAAAGTTTCGATCTCTGTTTACATTACTCGTCAGTTCCCATACCTCTCACCCCTGGCAACCACTAATCTACTTTCTGTCTCTGTGGATTTTCCCATTTGGGACATTTTGTAAAAATAGAATCATACAATATGTGGCCTTTTTTTGTCTAACTTCTTTCATTTAATGTAATGTTTTCAAGGATCACTTATGTTATAGCATGTATAAATACTTAATTCCTTTTTATGGTTGAATAGTGTATTACTGCGTATCACATATTGTTTATTCATTTATTCATCGGCAGAATTTGGGATTTTCTACTTTTTGGCTATTATGAATACTTCTACTATGAACATTTATGTACAAGTTTTTATTTGTACATGTTTTCAATTTTTTTTTAATGTTTTTATTTATTTCTAGGAGAGAGACAGAGAGAGAGAGAGAGTGAGACAGCGTGAGCAGGGGAGGGTCAGAGAGAGAGGGAGTCACAGACTGAAACAGGCTCCAGGCTCTGAGCTGGCAGTCAGCACAGAGCCCGACGCGGGGCTCGAACCCACGAACCGCGAGATCATGACCTAAGCGAAAGTCGGACGCTTAACAGACTAAGCTACCCAGATGCCCCTTCAATTTTTTAAATATATAACTAAGAGTGGAATTACTGGGTTATAAGGTAACTCTATTTTTAACTTTCTGAGGAAGTTCCTAACGATTTTCCAAGGTGACTGCACCATTTTACATTTTCACCAGCAACGCAGGAGGGTTCTAGTTTCTCCACATCCTTGTTAACACCTGTTCCTGTCTTTATTACAGCCACCGTACTGGGTATGAAGTGGTATCTCATGGCTTTGATTTGCATTTTCCTAATGTAGAATGATGTGGATCTTTTCATGGATTTATTGTCCATTTCCATATCTTCTTGGAAGAAATATCTATTCAAACCCTTTGCCCATTTCTAAATTGGGCTGTCTTTTTGTTGCTGAGTTGTAAAGGTTATATATTCTGGGTACTGGACCCTTATCAAATATATGACTTGTAAATATTTTCTCCCGTTCCAGGCGAGGTCTTTGCACCTTGTTGATAGTGTTGAAGCAAAATGGTTTTTAATTAGATGAAGTCCAATCTCTCTATTTTTAATGTGGCTTCTTGACTTTCTGGTGTTACTGAAGAAATCACTGCCTTAACTGAAGGTCATATTTACACCTGATTTCTTCTAAATGTTTTAAAGTTTTAGATCTTACTTTAGGTCTTTGATCCATTTTAACTTACATTAAAATTTTTTTTTAATGCTTATTTGTTTTGGAGCGAGAGAGACAAAGCGTGAGAGCGGGGAGGGGTAGAGAGAGAGAGAGAGAGACAGAGACAGAGAACCTGAAGCAGGCTCCAGGCTCCGCGCTGTCTGCACAGAGCCCAACGTGGGGCTTGAACTCACAAACTGTGAGATCACGACCTGAGCCAAAGTCAGACGCCCAACTGACTGAACCACTCAGGTGCCCGTTAACTTACATTTTTAAGTGCTTTAAAATTTTTATTTATTTTTTTGGGAGGGGGTGGGGAGGAGCAGAGATGAAAGAGAGAGGGGCTCAAACTCATGAACCATGAGATCGTGACATGAGCCAAAATCAAATCAGAGGCTTAAGCAACTGAGCCACCCAGGTGCCCCTCCCAGATGTGTTTCTACTCTCAATTGCTTCTCTTGGATTTTATGTCTTCTCATGTGCCTAATTTTTAAAAATTTGTTCCTGCAAAATTGCTTATAGAAATAATTTCAAACCTAAGAGAATAGTATGTCCTTATAGAGACAACTTCCCAGTACCTGTGAGCACTGGGATTATGAAATCATTTAAATCCATTGTAGAGATTAGGATTCAAAGCAGAACAGCAGCCCCCTGTGAGAGCCTGTGTGGTTCACATACTTCTAGAGGACAGTCTTTGGGGTCCCACACACCAGAGTGAGGGCATTTACTTGCACCATCCTCCACCTTGGTAGTCTCCAGAACCCACTTTGGTGACTTTTTTCCTGCGACCCTATCAAGAGTATGACTCACCCTCACAGGTACCTCTTCCAGAATCAGAAGATGCCCAAAGAAGGGATAATTTCCTTAAATGTACATCCTCTTTCACTCCTTTACTTTCAAATTAGTTCCCTAATGTCTTTTGTGTTATAGTTTTTAAATTTATTTTTGAAACAAGAGAGACAGAGCATGAGTGGAGGAAGGGCAGAGACAGAGGGAGACGCAGAATCTGAAACAGGCTCCAGGCTCAGCTGCCTGCACAGAACCCGATGCGGGGCTCGAACCCATGAACCGCGAGATCATGACCTGAGCTGAAGTCGGACGCTTAACCGACTGAGCCACCCAGACGCCCCATCCCCCCCCCCCAATGTCTTTTGATAGAGTTTTTAAAAAAGCATTTTGCTCAGCGTCCCCTCTTCTCAGCGGGAGAGCTGGTCCGTAGGACTCTGTCCATCACCATCCCAAGCAGAACTCAGGGTGCATGTTCTTGCAGGCTAAATGGCTGTTGGGCGATTTCAGTTCCAACTCCTATTTTAACATTCTAATTTAAGAGAACATTAACATACCACTAATTTGAGTAAATATTCAGAAAGAAGACAAGAACATACTAGTGGTAATTTCTCAAGAAACCATGGACTCGGAGGATAGAAATGACCTCCTATAACCCCCGGAGGCAGGTAGTTTGTACCATGCTGTACATTTAAATCACACAACTACTGCATATCATTCAGCAATTTAAGCCTAAGTCCTTTCAAAAATGTGGCTGAGAAAATACTGCTTTCTTAAGTCCCTGGGTGGAGGGAGACAGGAAATGCCTATAATAAAAGGCTTTCACCTGTGACTCAGCCCCATGTGGCTGAAGAATGCTCTGGGCTGAGAGGCAGACTGTGCTGAGAACGTTCCTCCTTTTTTATTAAACAGCAAATTTTCTGAAGGTACTAATATACACTTAACTCGTTCAAAAATAACTGTTCCAACTGCATCCTCTCACCTCTGCTAAATCCACTCTATTCTGCCAAAACACTGGAGTCAGTCTTCCCTCTTCTTTCTCTCGATCTTATCCATTAGCAAAATCCTCGTGGCATGGTCTTCAATGTGTAACCAGGATCCGTCAGTTCTCACCACCTCTGCTGATTACCTCTGTCCAGGGCACTGGAAGTTCCTGTCTAGATTACCTCAATGGCTCCTAACTGTTCTCCTAGTTTCCACTCCTGACCCTACATATTCTTCACAAGGCAGCTAGAGGAATCCTTTCAAAGCCTAAGAGAGATTAGGCCACATCTTTGCTCAAAACCCTGCAATAAGCTTTCCATTTCACTGGAAATGCCCCTAGTTCATTTCCACAGGACGTCTCCCTTCATCCGTGCTCTCATCTTTTCTTGCTGTCTCACCGGCCATGCTGTTTCTCCAGTGTGTCAGCACCTCTGGACCTGCTACGTTCCCTTTCTGGGATGTTCTTAGATAGAAAGCATTTTATTTTCCCTTTACACACAGCTTTTAGGGTCACACTGCATTTCAAGTAGCAGAATCCGTTCGCCATCACCAGACCCTGAGAAGTCAAGCATTATTTTTGAAGTTGAGGTTCCTTTATTCCTATCTTGGAGATCTGCCTCACCCCAGGGTGCCACCAGATGAGAAAGTGCCTGCTTGGTTTGAAGTCTGCAGCTCTCAAAAACCCATGTGGGACTGGTAATATCACCAACCGGTTAAGATACAAGATAGATCCATCAGTTCATACGGAAAAAGAGCAATTATGTGCTAGTGTAGTTTACACTGTGCATAACCCGGGGGCCAGGAATTTTATTCCTGAGTATGTTCCCCAGAAAAACACTCCCAAAAGTGTTCGGAGCAAAGTTGGTGAAAACCCTAAATGGCTTTCACCAAGAGAATGAGCAAATGACTAAGTAACCACTACATAGCAGAGGATTAGACCTGCATAATGAATTATTATTCATAATTAACTGACTTCAAAAAGCAGAATAGCACAGAATGAGATAGAACACAACTATTCAAGGGTGAGTGGAAGGAACTGGGATTGGGATGGGATGGAAGCAGAGGTATAATAAAACGTATAAAAACAAAAGGCCACACAAAAACCAGTGATTATGATATTCCATGAACTGAGTTCACAACAAATCCACACTGAATACCCAAGCTCATTTGTGGACAGGCCTGGCTGGGAAGAGGGCAGATATGAAGACAAACTGTTAGAGCTCCCTCTTCAGGCTGACTTGATACCAACCCACAAGCAGAACCCTTCAGCGAGCATGAGCTGCAAGCCTTCTCAGTATGGGTTCCATATATATTCCATACACTAGACACACAAAAGTGAACAAGGTAAATCTGGTCTGTTGTTTAGCAAATCACAAGTTCACATGGCCCACTCATATTTCTTCATGTACTTTTCCTTCCCAAAGGAACAGGACATTCTGGGAAGCAATTTACCAAACCACAGATATTTGCCACATTTCCCAGATCTACTAACACTAAAAATAAAAGGGAGGAAGTCTGGTAGAAAACGTATACTTGTTGCATCACAGGAATCAATGTCAAAATCATTCTTAGGGGCGCCTGGGTGGCTTAGTCGGTTGAGCGTCCGACTTTCGCTCAGGTCATGATCTCGTGGTTCGTGGGTTCGAGCCCCGCGTCGGGCTCTGTGCTGACTGCCAGCTCAGAGCCTGGAGCCTGTTTCAGAGTCTGTGACTCCCTCTCTCTCTGACCCTCCCCTGCTCACGCTGTCTCTCTCTCTCTCTCCTAGAAATAAATAAAAATGTTTAAAATAAATAAATAAATAAAAATGTACAAAATCATTCTTAGAAAAACTATTTTAATTAGCATCATGAGTTCCAAACCAAAAATAAATGTAGTAATGTTTCAATCATCAAAGGTTGGGAATAAAGAGCCCACCCCCACCCCCCGCAACGTTTACTACAGAAAATGAAACTGTGCCAAAGAGAGTTAAATAGCTGTAGAGATCCGTCACAGAGATGTTTTCATTCAAGTGTCCCCATGAAGTGACCTGACAAAGTCTCTAATAACACTCATCTTAATTCCATAAAATGCTAAAGTGGTTGTATGCAATTGGTTTTTTAAAGTTTTTACTTATTTATTTAATAAACTCTAGCCCAATGTGGGGCTCGAACTCATGACCCTGAGATCAAGAGTCGCATGCTCTTCCTACCTAACTGTGATGTTTGATGTTGAAGAAGTCCTGTACTATACTTTTACAACACATTTGACAACTGAAGTTTATTTTTGTTGTGTATCCTTTGATGTCTGGTAAGAAAGGAGTTCATACCTGCCCCAGGCATAAGACTTCTCTCCAGTACAGACTGATGTTTGGTAAGATCTGAACTTTGACTAAAGGCTTTCCCATATCACTTACAAAGAGCTTTTCTCCATATGGAATCTCTGATGCACTGTAAGACCTGAGCTAACGCTGAGAGGTCCTCAGAGCAGTCACACATAGGGCTCGAACCCACGAACCGTGAGATCATGACCTAAGCGAAGTCGGATGCTTAACCGACTAAGCCACCCAGGCGCCCCTGTTTCTTTTTAATGAGAGTTGAGCTCACATTTACGGCACTGAAGATCTCTTCATGGGTTCTCTGATATCCGACAAGACTATCCAAGTACCTGAAGGCTTTGCCACATTCTCTACTCTCACGGGACTCTTCTGCATGGTGGCTTCTCGGCTGTGCAGTGCCACAGGCGCTGGGTTTACACTGAAGGTCCTTCCGTGCTGAGAATCCTCATAGGGTTTCCTCAAGTCTGCTGGGGCTTAGTCAGGAGTGCTGGTGTCCGGGTTTGTTTTATCAGGGAGAGGCGTTTCTGGGGCACTTACGTTTTATCACAACTGAGCACAAGGTGAAGGGAGAATTCCCTGCTCCCAGAGCACTGACAGGAGTGAACTTCAGGGCAGGTTTTCCTAAGTGTCCTCACCAGGGTGATACTTAGCAGATAGTTATCAGTGACACTTATCCCTTTATCAGATACTCTCCTGGCTTGAAGCAATACAAGCCGTGATTCCTGAAAGGGGCTCGTCCCTCACTTGGCTAGACTATTCCGAAGGCCCTGGACTTGTTGCATGTGGAGGCCCTGAGGTATGTTCCCAGTTAGTCTTCTGTGCTGGGCTTCCGCAAAACTCTCCTTGGAGCTGGACTCCTTGTCTAAGGCCAGGAGTTACTCTCTGAAAGAAGAGGTTGATCATAAAATAAGCACCTTTCCTTTAGAGGCAGAAAGAAGTCAAATGTAACAAATGAGAGTGGCTTATGAGAGAAACAGGGCTCTTTGTTAAGAGTCTGAAGTAAAGAATATACGCTTATGGGGCGCCTGCGTGGCTTAGTCGGTTAAGCGTCCGACTTTCGCTCAGGTCATGATCTAATGGTTCGTGGGTTTGAGCCCCACGTCAGGCTCTGTACTGACAGCTCAGAGCCTGGAGCCTGCTTCAGATTCTGTGTTTCCCTCTCTCTCTGCCCCTCCCCTGCTCATGCTGTGTCTCTCTGTCTCAAAAATAATAAATACTAAGAAAAAATTTTTTACAGATCACCTGTGAAAGTAACAACATATAAAGGAGCAGACTAAAGAAGCCATCACACCAACAAAGCATTTAACTATCTATCTGGAGTGATTATAAAAGTCTCAAATCTAGAAGGGATGCCAGAAAATATTTGGCATGTCTCCTTTAAGGATATAGAAACTAAGGCCCAGCAAGGCGGCATTAGTCTAGCCTAATACGGTTACTTAGAGGTAACAGGCTGAAAGCAAGGGCTCTTGAATCTCATCTTGAATGTTTTACCAGCATTAACACACTGGCTCCTTGAAACCATGAAGGCACATAAACAACCTTCTTATTAAAACCTTCATAGTACAGCTTAGTGGTTAAGAGAACAGGTCCTCAGCTTAGACTTCTGGTTTCAATTCCTGGCTCAACCATTTCCTGGCTGAATGACCATGTTATTTAATGTCTCTGTTCCTCAATTTATGCAGCTGTAAATGGTAGTAGTATGTACCTCATACCATTGTTTGTTATTGAAAAATGTACATATAAGGCACTCAGAAAAAGCCCCAGCATATAAAGTATTCCATAAACATCGGCCATCATGGTAGATCTACTATCTCGATGGTAAGTTTCATCAATTTTTCTTGGTTTCTCATTGCAGTCTTTGTAAGGATTATTTTCCCCTACCCTATAGTCAAGAAGCTTGGTCATCTGACCTGCTTTGGCTAATGAAACATAAGTGCAAATGATATATGCTTCCCTGTAAAAGCCACTGTATGTACCTACCGCTGTGTTTCTTTTACTCCTCAGGTCCTGGGGTGGAGAGAACACACTGCAGAGCTGCAACTGAGCCACGGCTGACACACAGCACAGGCAAGACCAAGTCCTGTACTGTAAGCGACTGAGATTTGCGGGCGGGAGCTGGGGGATGCAGGGAGGTCCTGGTTACATAATAAAAATCTAGCTGATCATAATGAACCTAAGTCAACCTGTACAACCTCACGCCATTTCAGCGCACCAGCTGCCAGGTGTTGGTGGTCAGTTAACACAAACAAAAATGAAAGTAAGAGGCACACCTGGGTGGTCCAGTCAGTTAAGCGTCCAACTCTTGGTTCTGGCTCAGGTCATGATGTGACAGTTGTAGGTTCAAGCCCCACATCGGGCTCCGTGCTGAGCACAGGGAGCCTGCTTGGGATTCTTTCTCTTTCTCCTTGTCTCTGCTCCTCCCGTGCTCACGCTCTCTCTCTCTCTCAAAATAAATAAAAAATAAAAAACGTAAAGTAACAACTAAGCCATGAATCCGTGCTACAGCATTACCAAGACGCTCAACAAGAGGGCACCGACAAAGGGCCCGGTCATTTATGGCCCTGGGGCCAGGAGGAAGAAGAGGGGGAAGCCAGGAGTGGACTAGTACCGAATATGGACTTACAGTGGGGAAAAGGGTCCTCAAGGTTCCTCTACCCCAACGAGGGAGTCTCAGCAGAGTTGCTCGGGCAAGGCCCCCAGAAACAGGCCTCCAGGTAGGGGTGTGGCCTGCGGTGCGAGTGCGCCTAAGAGCCTGCCATCCAGGCAGTCGTGAACCCTAGACCGCAGCACAGAGACTGCACACGCTAGCTGCACCTCGAAGTCCAGTGCGGGAGGGTGGTTCTGCCCCATGAGGGGTAACCAAGCTGGACTCTTTTGAACTTCCCATGAAGAACATCAGGCAACCAATAAGCTTATCTACCTTTTGTCCAAGAGATGCGATCAGGGGCACAAACCACGCAGAGCGCGTGGCCAGCAGCACCCGCAGACGTGCAGGAGCGCGAGAGGCCCGAGGACCGTCTCTCCCAACGATGGCCGAGTTACAACGTAAAACGCGCTTCCCACTGCACTTCAACACCAGCCTGGAGACGTTTCACACTTTTCAAGCACAGAAAGCAAGGAATCTCACGACCTGGCCCCCAACTCTCTCTCCAGTGTGATGTCACTACTTCCGTACTACATTCTATGATCAGAGAAACCTCCCTCCTTTCCCCCAGACACAGAGCGGGTTTTCTAGAAGTTCATTTATTTTGAGAGAGAGAGAGAAAGAGAAAGAATGGGGGAGGAGCAGAGAGAGAGAGAGAGAGAGAGAATCCCAAGCAGGCTCCACATTGTCAGCACAGAGCCGGATGCAGGGCTCAACCTCATCACTGCAAGATCACAACCTGAGCCGGTATCAGGAGTCAGATGCTTAACTGACTGAGCCACCCAGATGCCCCCAGGCACATAGTTTTAATCACGCTTTTCCCAAAGTCCCTTCCTTCATCCTTTTTCCTGTGGCTGAAGAACTCACTCTTCTTCCAAGATTTCACTGTCCTCTGAGACCTTCAACACTTCCACAAGTGCAAAGTAATCTATACAAACCCAGTGGCTTTATCACTGTAGTGATTGTTCTCTATCTGCTACTTTCTCCCTGTCCCCAAATAGACTCTAAGCCCCTGAAGACTAGGGTGCTTTTTCCATGTATCTTTGTATTCCTAGTACCTAGCAAAAGGCTCAACCCATAGCAGATGATCATCAACACTTTGGGCTCACAAGGAATAACCATGTTACGTGGATCCTGATCTCCCAACACTACATTCTTCAGTAGAAGCAACGTCTTTCTCCAGAATGTCTGCTCCTTCAAAGTCTTCAAGATACTTACCACTTACTGCTTCGGATTCAGTTGCGCTGGTTTGGGGTGGGTTATGCCATCACTTCAGTGCTGATCTCAGAAGAGTATTCTCCACCCAGAAGAATCTGTCTGCAAACCTCCATCCTAGGGACAAACCAAGACAGTTGGGGCCAAAGAGGTAAACACTAAAAACACTGACGGTAACAATAAAAAAACGGCATGGCAGGGAACTCTCCAGAGCAGAGCAAGGAGAAACCAGTCTCCCTCAACTGTCAAAAGGAGATAGAAGCAGGGTGAGGGAATTCACACCTCAATCCAATGTTGTAGACAATTTCCCAGTGTTTTGTTGAGGCCCTTCATTTCAGCCTGTAAGTATGTGCCTTATTCTCTCCAGTGCACCCCATGCCCTAGGTGAGGTTCTGTCTCCTTAGTCTGTGCTCCATAACCAGGACCTTCTCTGCCTTCAGCCCCCATGTCCATGCCGAAACTTATCTGTAAGTGGTAAGCACCTGTTCAATACCAGACTTCACGTTGTGCGTTTCCACATTCATCCTTAATCTCAGTGCCTTACGGTACAAGTTGGCTCAAAGCTTCATGGAGTCCAGTGTGTCTGTGGGCTGTCTTGCCTGAGATGTTCACGAGAAATCATGAAGACTGTGTGTCCCCGTACAACACAGAGTCCTACTGCAGACCAATCAACCTGAAACTTCTATCAATTTGGTGTTCATCTTGAACCTCCCAAGATTTAGTTTCAGGGATCAAAAGAATTTCAGACCTGCCAACCCAAGAGTCAGAAATCACTATTAATGTAGAAAAATAGTAACAAAGTAATTTTTAAGTCCAGATCTCTTCCCTGAGTTTTACATGTGCATATATAACTTTTGGGTTTAGGTCTGGGGGCGGGGTTAGAAAGTTAGGGTACATTCTGATGAACACGTCTTCTGGGATTTCCAGACGTAACAAACGCATTTTTCAAACTGAACTCATTAACTCTGTACCACTTCCCAAATCTGAGCTCTTCCAGTTTACATGAGGTGTCGAACTTCAAAGAGTCACTCAAATAGATCCTTGAAAGTCATCTTAAAATCAATGGCATCCTCAACTCAACAGCAGTTTCCCAGCTTGTCCCGTCCTCACACCTCTTCAGTCTGTAACGGCCCCACCACAGTTGAGAAACACCAAATCTAAGGGTTCAGAGCACCTAACACTTTTAGAAAAAGGCTTTTTGTTTTTGTTTGTTTTGGTTCAGGAAGCTCAGTCAAGTTTAGGGTTTACTGAGTCAGCAAGTCAAAAGTCCTGGGGCTTTGCTGACTAAGCAAGAATGACCCTGAAAAATTATCTATCGGATTTCTACCTTAAAAAAAAGATAGCCTAGGTGCGCCTGGGTGGCTCCGTTGGTTGAGTGTCCGACTTCGGCTCAGGTCATGATCTCACGGTTCGTGGGTTCAAGCCCCGCGTTGGGCTCTGTGCTGACAGCTAGCTCAGAGCCTGGAGCCTGTCTTTGGATTCTATGGCTCCCTCTCTCTCTTTTTTTTTTAAATTTTTTAAATGTTTTATTTATTTCTAGGAGAGAGAGAGAGAGAGACAGCATGAGCAGGAGAGGGTCAGAGAGAGAGGGAGTCACAGACTGAAACAGGCTCCAGGCTCTGAGCTGGCAGTCAGCACAGAGCCCGACGCGGGGCTCGAACCCATGAACCGTGAGATCATGACCTAAGCGAAAGTCGGACGCTTAACCGACTAAGCCACCCAGGCGCCCCTATGTCTCCCTCTCTCTGACCCTCCCCTGCTCATCCTATCTCTATCTCTCTCTCAAAAATAAATAAAACATTAAAAACAAGGAAGTGAAGGCAATGGCAATGGAAAGATGATCAAAAAAGAAATATATATATATACACATACATACATATATATATATAAAGATACCCTCTGCCAAGGAGGTTACTAACCCATCTAATTTCCCCTGAGAGCTACAGGTACAACAAAAGCAAAGAAAGGAAGACCAATCAGTTCGTGTTTCCAGATACAATGAGGATATGTGGCTCCTGTCCCACCAATCAACACTACTTCCAATTTCTTTTTTTTTTTTATTTTTTTTAATGTTTTATTTATTTCTAGGAGAGATAGAGAGAGACAGCGTGAGCAGGGGAGGGTTAGAGAGGGAGGGAGTCATAGACTGAAACAGGCTCCAGACTCTGAGCTGGCAGTCAGCACAGAGCCCGATGCGGGGCTCGAACCCACGAACTGCGAGATCATGACCTAAGGGAAAGTCGGGCGCTTAACCGACTAAGCCACCCAGGCGCCCCTCCAATTTCAAAACTTAAGAGGTTTTACCTGTAATACAACAACAGCAATAACAATAACAAAAGGCTTGTATATGAGAAAAACTAAAACAATATTTATAATACTGAAGTCTGCTCTTACTAAACCAAAACAAACTATATTGTAATATACATATATTTAAATGGCTTTACCTTGTAAGTTGTAAAAGGAGCACTCTCAGAAGTCGACGTGATTTCAGAGCTTTAATCATTCTGGAGTCAATTTTCACTGACTTCTCACTTCTTGAATATCCCAAAAGGCCAAGTATCAATTAAAACATTAATTTTTTCCATGTTCTTCTCTTGGTGTTGACTTCTGATACAAAAAAAAGGCCTTTGAAATATCTTCACCACATAAATCAATGACGACACTTTAGTTTGGCATGTATTTTCTGGTGTTTGGTAAGATTAGAACTCCCACGGAAAGCTTTCCCACACACGTCACACTCATACGGTTTCTCTCCAGTGTGGATTCTCTGGTGATGATTAAGGGTTGAGATCTGGCTGAAGGCTTTCCTGCATTCTCCACACTCATAGGGCTTTTCTCCAGAGTGAATCCTTTGGTGATTAATAAGGGCGGAGTTCACATAGAAGGCCTTCCCACACTCCTTACACTCATACGGCTTCTCTCCTGTGTGGATTCTCTGGTGTTTGATGAGGGCTGAGCTCACGCTAAAGGCTTTCCCACATTCGTCACACTCATAGGGCTTTTCCCCAGAGTGGATTCTCTGATGCTTGATAAGGTCTGAGCTCACACTAAATGCTTTGCCACACTCATTACATTCATACGGTTTCTCCCCGTTGTGGATTCTCTGATGTATGATCAGGTGTGCCCTCACACCAAAGCCTTTCCTACACTCGTTACAAGTATAGGGCTTCTCGCCTGTGTGGATTCTCTCATGCACAGTGAGGGTGGAGCGCACACTGAAGGCTTTTCCGCAGTGATCACACTCATAGGGTTTCTCGCCAGTGTGGATTCTCCGGTGTCGAACGAGGCCTGAGCTCTGGGCAAACTTCTTTCCACATTCACTACAAGTGTACCGTCTCCCTTCTGTGGGCCAGACTTCTTGCCTTTGTACCCGGTTCACATACTGAGAGGCTTTCTCACGCTCAGGTACCTGTAACGTATCCCCATTATGTATGCTGGCAACCTGCTTGTGTGGGTCCATCCTTACAAAATTCTTCCCTCAGAACAGACACCTTATTCGTGCCTCTGGCTTTGATTCCTGAAATCATAATAAATAGAGTTTCAAATGTAATTTATTCCTTGTTGCTAAAGCAACAGGATGTGACACGGACTTAACTAGAACCCTCAAATATGCTTGATAAACCCAGGACACACCAATCAAATGTGTTAGTCAGTCTATATGCAGTGACATATCACAACACTATTAGAATGAACACCCGACTCAAATGTCTATTTAAAAATTACCCTTTATGATGGTATCGACAGCACAGAATCTGGAATATAAGTGAATATAAAAATAATACTTAGTTCTTACTTAAAAAGACTTTTCATCTATTTAATTAAGTTGGGAAACAAGAGAGGAATTGAAGACATTTGTAGTCAGTAGAGCTGATGATGGACTATACAAATACAGAAGATAAAAGAACCAGAAATTCAACGGATAATAACTTTGGAAGAATGACAGCAGCATCACCGACAGCTGTGTTGTTACCACTCACGGAAAGTCCATACTATTTGGCTGGAACTTATCTCTTCTCTGCCTCTTTCCACCTTACAAATTGTTTTATGTCTCAACAGTAATAAAGTGATGATATGCACCCTCGATATGATGAGAATGGCACTTCACCTTTGGGGTCACCCTCCCCAAAACCTATAACCTCAATATAGTAATAAGAAAAACAACAGTCAACTCCCAATTGAGTGGCATTCTGCCAAAAACCTGACTCCTCAAAACTGTCAAGGTCATCGAGGTGCCTGGGTGGCTCAGTCATTTAAGTGTCAGTTAAGCATGGGGTATATTGGAACTCTCTGTACTATCTTCACAATCTTTCTGTAACTCTAAAATGTCCAGAGTACACAGAAACCATTCTGAAAATTTTGCTTAAAAATCTGTCTATGCAGGGCATCTGGTTGGCTCAGTCAGAAGAGCATGGGACTCCTGATCTTGGAGGTATGAGTTTGAGCCCCAATTTGGTTGTAGAGATTACTTAAAATAAATAAACACATAAATGTATTTATGCAACACAAAGAAATAGAAAGATATTCCATGTTCATGTGTTGGAAGAATATTTGTAAAATGTCTATTTACTCAAAGCAATCTACACATTTAATGCAATCCCTACCAAAATACCAACATCATTTTTCACAGAACTACTATAAACAATCCTAAAATTTGTGTAGATCCACAAAGACCCCGAATAGCCAAAGCAATCTTGAAAAGCAAAGCAAAGCTGGAGGCATCACAATTCTGGACTTCAAGTTATATTGCAAAGCTGCAGTGATCAAGAAAGTAGACATAGATCAATGGAGCAGAATAGAAACCCCAGAAATGATCCCACAACTATATGATTAATTAATCTTCAGCAAAGCTGGATAGAATATTCAGTGGGAAAAAGAATGTTTCTTCAAAAAATGCTGTTGGGAAAAACTGGACAGCAACATGCAAAAGAATGAAACTGGACCACTTTCTTACATTATACACAAGAATAAATTCAAAATGGATTAAAAACCTAAATGTGAGACTGAAAACGATGAAAATCCTAGAAAAGAAAATAGGCAGTAACCTTCTGACATCAGCCATAGCAATTTCTTCCTAGATATATCTCTGGAGACATGGGAAACAAAAGCAAAAATGAACTATTGGGACCTCATCAACATAAAAGGCTTCTGTACAGTGAAAGAAACAATCAACAAAACTAAAAGGCAACGTACAGAATGGGAGAAGATATCTGCAAATAACATATCTGGGACCTGGGAAAAAAAATTAAGCACATGAAATTATAGATGTATCACTGTATAAACAAATGCATCATTAGAGCAGACCAGTCAAGGGAGGTATGGAAAAAATAATGACAATATCTACATACTACTTTTGTATCAGGTGCCATCATGTAAGCCTGATAACAATTCTAGGCAGGAGCTTTTGTCATCCTCATTTACATATGAAGAAAGAGAGGCACAGAGAGATTCAGTGATTTGGCCACAATCACAAGTTTAGACCTAAATGCCCAAAAACGGGGAAAAAAAAAGAAATATCCTTAAGAGACTAAAAGTTTTATGATGATTTAATTAGTAAATACATGTCCCAGGGCGCCTGGGTAGCTCAGTCAGTTAAGCATCCGACCTCCGCTCAGGTCATGATCTCGTGGTTCATGGGTTCAAGCCCCCCATCGGGCTCTGTGGTGACAGCTCAGAGCCTGGAGCCTGCTTCAGATTCTGTCTCCTCTCTTTCTCTCTCTCTCAAAAATAAATACACACTAAAATATTTAAAAAATAAATAAAAACATGTCCCTTCCCTTGCTGCTGTCTGGGTTCATGCAACTCAGCCACTGTCTCAAGACCGACCCCCGCCCTCCCCGCCTGTCCCTGTCCCAGACCTGGCAGTCCTTAGGCCGAAAGGTCGGTTACTGGCCTCGGCCAGGGTCAACCGCGCTGGAGCCAGCCCAGAACTTAGAGTTTCCTAGGAGCAGAATTCTTGAAACCAGAGAAAACAGCCCCTCTAATGCTGCCACGCAGTTTTCCACCTGGAGTGTGCGATTCAGTAGGATTCCTCTTCCGGAGCCTCCTCTTTGTTACCGTTCTTTTGTAAAAACAAACAAACAAACAATAAAAAAAAAACTACACTATTTTACTCAAAAGGCAAAGACTACCACAGCTGTCACACTAACTAGTGAGGGTCTGGGCGAAAACGCAAAGTGAAACAAGGGGCTGATCCGCTAGGACGTGTCCGATCCCAGGCTGAGGCAGCCCGTGCCCCAACTCCCTGCCGCGGGGCACTCCCGGGCCACGCGGGGGGCGCGAAGCGGCTGCTCAGAGCCGGGCACCGGCCCTACGGGCCAGCCTGCCGCACGGGTGTACTCCGCACGCACAAGGAAACGTCCTGGGCACCGGGGTGGAAGAGGAAGCCTGTCCCAAGTACGCATTTCCAGTCCTCCTCAGTTTCCCCTTCCGTTCGAAAAGGCGGGCCGAGGGTCGGCTGGGGGCGACCCCACACCTACCAGGGGTGCACGTGGTCACGGCAGCGCCACAGAACTCGGGAGGCCGTGGGAAAGACCAGGCCGCACTGGCGCGTCGGGCCTGCGGCCGGAGGGGAGGCCGGCCAGGCTCCAGCGTGCTCAGCTCGGGACGCGACGGTCGGGCCCGCAGGGGCGCCCGAGCAATGCTCTCCCCGCCCCCCGCGGGCCGGAAGTCCCGGCACTTCCGGGGCGGCCCCCGGGCACTTCCGCCGGGCCCTCCGCTAGCACAGGCCTGGAGCGCCGCAGCCGAGGGCAGGCGGCGGGAGGCCGAGCCGACACCCTCTCGTTCACAAAGGTGACTTCCGCTTGCTGATTCTGTCCAGTGTAGGACGCGGGGCTCTTGAATCTTGGAATTTAAAGACACCGCGGCCGGAAAAGGCAGCATCTCCAGGGGGACCCTGCAGGATCCCCAAAACCTCCGCGCGGGACCGCTGGAGTTCGGGTCTTCATCACCGAAGATCCGAAAGCCAGAGCTGCTCTTCTCTGTGCTTGAAGATTAGGGACCAGGTCCAGGAGGGCGGAGCTTTGAAAACTTGACTGTAACACCGACTGGCCGTCAATGGAAGAATTCAACCCAAACACCAAGTCAGTACACTTGTATGGACATAGAACCTGATGAAAGGAGTAAGACCTAGAATGAAACATTACAGTTGGAGGCTCAGAGTATGGATCCATCCCCTGGCGGAGTACACAATAAGAACATACAAGAACAAGGGTCAGACCTGAGGGCATAATCAGCCAGAAGAGAAATGGACTAAACAAGAAGCCTGGATTCTCTTCTACCAGCACCACTAACCTTAATGGGCGACCCAGTGATCGCTTGGCCTCTGTGGACCTCCGTTTGCAGAATGGGTTGGGAAATGATCTCAAAGGCCACTTCCAAGCCTAGCATTTTATAGACTATGAATAATTAAACACAACAAAGCAACGCAGTGATTTCTTTGGTGCACTACACATTAAAACCGATTTTCTAATTCGAGTTGATCCTTTTTAAACCTTCCGTTTTAAACCTGTTTAAGTGCCATTGAGCTATGAGAGATGAATGTTCTTAAAAGGTCTTTTTTTTTTTAATATTTTTATTTATTTCTAGGAGAGAGAGAGACAGCGTGAGCAGGGGAGGGTCAGAGAGACAGGGAGTCACAGACTGAAACAGGCTCCAGGCTCTGAGCTGGCAGTCAGAGCCCGACGCGGGGCTCGAACCCACGAACCGCGAGATCATGACCTAAACGAAAGTCGGACACTTAACCGACTAAGCCACCCAAGTCCCCCTTAAAAGGTCTTTTAAATTAATTTAGGAAGTAACATTTTCTTCTACATATTTGCCTCCATAGTTAAGAGTAATACTCTGTTAAAAACTTTCTAAGTGGGCATGCGTTTTACTTGGCAAACTGACCACATTCTGGCTTGTGGTTTCCTTGGAGTAATTAATCCTGTCTAGCTGCTGTCCAAGGGACAGTTGAAAGTTGTATGTTGTCTCCAAAGCTACATCTTTTATATGACCCCCTGGAAACGAGATAGCCCTCTGAAGTCTTATCTTTGATTCTATAAAAGGAAACTAGACTGTAGTCCTGTAACACCTGGTACTTGGTATAACAAGGGAGGCAGATCTGATCTTGCAAGCAACCTTAGAACATCATTAGAGACCTTTTTATGGCTGGGGCCCCTGGGTGGCTCAGTCAGATGTCCAACTTCAGTGCAGACCACGCGAGTTTAAGCCCCACATTGGGCTCTGTGCTGACAGCTGGGAGTCTGGAGCCTGCTTAAAATTCTGCTCTTTCCCTCCCCAACTCACTCAGTCTCCCTCTCTCAAAAATAAACACTTAAAAAAAAAAATGTGGTTTACCATCACTCTGACATGTATATGGCTGTGAACTCCCTTTTTCTTTTCTAATCTTACATACTATAAATCTAACAAGTTCCTTTTAAAGCTTGCCATAGCTAATTTTTCTAATTGCAGTGATAGTATTTCTATCTCCTTTCTCCTATATACCTTAAATATGTCCAGCCCAGGACTTCTCAGCTTTGGCAATATTAAACATACGAAGCCAGATAATTTGTGTTGCTGTGTGGGCTGTTTGTGCATGCACGGTGTTTAGAGCGTCCTTAGCTTCTATCTGCTAGACGCTAGTAGAATCCCAGCTGTCCACCAGTGGTCGAACCAAAGCTATCTCCAGACATTTAACCAATTTTCTCCAGTTGAGAACCACTGGCTTAACCTCAGATACAAAAGTCTATTCTCAAGCACTTTTGCAACAATAACTTTAACACAGTAATCTTTAGAGTTTCCTATTCTAGGGCGCCTGGGTGGCTCAGTTGGTTAAGTGTCTGACTTCGGCTCAGGTCATGATCTTACGGTTTGTGGGTTTGAGCCCCGTGTCGGGCTCTGTGCTGACAGCCAGCTCAGAGTCTGGAGCTTGTTTCAAATTCTGTATCTCCCTCTCTCTCTGACCCTCCCCTGCTCATGCTGTCTCTCTCTCTCTTAGAAATAAAAATTTTTTAAATTCTTTTTAGAGTTTCCTATTCCTATTTTGTTCCTTAAAGAATAAATTTGGCCAAACAAGTGGAGAGCTTCTTATTTCAGTTTTCACATATATTCTCCTAACGTTGGATTTTTTAGTCTTAGTCTTAGGTAGAGGCAACTATAGATGTTCTACAGAAACAGGTCTGTGCACAAAGTGGTAAGAGAGACATATAAACTTGAAAACAGCTTAAAAATTTCTGTAGATAACTCCATAAATAATCCACACAATGATGCAACAAGCATTTATTAAACGCCTACTGTGTGCTCAGCACTGTACTAGGCACTAGGGGGTAGAGAGATACAAACGTAAAAGTTATTATTTCTGCCCTCAAGGAGCTTACAATTTAATTCCGGAAATAAATACAAATGTTAAACTACAATACAGAGAGCTAGAAAATAATTACAAAGCAACATACTAGTAAGTGCATGGACCACAGTACAAACTTAAAGGGTAAGTGCTAAGGCAGCACAGAACAAGGGATGTCTCAGTGTGAGGTGAAGTCAGGGAGAGCCCACTTGGAAGATATAAAGCAGCTAGGCTTTGAAGGGATGGGTGAGTTAAGAGGTGGAGCCAAGAAACCACAATCTAAACAAAAGAAATTGCATGAGAAAGGCACAGAGGCAAGGGATTGTAAGACAGCAGTGGAAGGCCGCAGGAAGTCTGAACAAGAGGAGTCAAAGTGAATAAGCTAGAGAATGAGGTTGAGGCAGATGAAGCGTGAAGGGCAAAACTTGGAGAATCTGGAACACCCCCACTGAGAGAGCAGTTATCTGCTGAGTGTTTTTGACCGAAAATGGACTTTGAGGAGGATCACCTTAGAAGTGTTACTGGAAGGGAGTCTTGAAAGCAAGGAAACTAGAAAGAATTACAACAGCCTGGCTTCAGATGACATAGCTCTGCAGAAGGCTACAGGAATGGCAGAAATGTAAGAGATCCAGCCTCCAGGAGAAAACTGAGAACAGCAATGACTTAGCAAGATCTGAGACGTGTCGAGTGGAGAGCAGACAACTAAAGGACAACTCCAAGACTAGGATAAGAAGTATGAAGGGCAGGGCGCCGGGGGCTCAGGACACGATCTGAGTTGTGAGTTTGAGCCCCACCCTGAGCATGGAGCCTACTTTTAAAAAAAATAAAGAAATATGAAGGGCAGTGAGTCTATTCAGGGTAAAGAAGCTACGCAATAATGCCTATTTGAAAGGAAAATGTGGTTTGGGGGACATGAGTGATGAGTTCTGTTTTAAAATATGAAATTATATAGGTAACTGACCCACAGGGTGGGAAATAATTACTGAAATACAGAAGGTAAGTGTGAACAATCAAAACAGACAAATAGAAATGAGTAGAGGAAAAATACTGGATAAACCCACAACATGGGGATTATTTTCAGTGGAGAGGAGAAAAAAGACTAATAAAGAAAAGCTAAAAATTGGGAGGAAAATGATCAAAATGGATCCCACAAACCAAAGAAGAGAATTCCTGAGGTGCAGGGAAAACTCAACAGTGTGAAATATAGATCAAGGACAAGGGGCTCCTGGGTGGCTCAGTCGGTTAAGGGTCCAACTCTTGATTTTGGCTCAGGTCATGATCTCAAGCTTCTTGAGCTTGAGGCCTACACTGGGCTCCACGCTGACAATACAGAGCCTGCTTGGAATTCTCTCTTTCTGCCCCTCTCCTGCTCACATGCTTGCTTTCTCTCTCTCTCTCAAAACAGGATAAGAACTTAGAAAAGGCATTGATATTTGTTCATAGGACACTTAAGTGGCATGCTGAGTAATAAGCCAGTAAGAAGTTTGAGGAATATATTAATGAGAAAATGGGGTTGAAAAATGGATGACATGTTTGAAAGATCATTAATGACAAAAGAAAAACAGATTGGCAGCTGCAAATGGGCAGTGAAGTTAAAGGTTTTCCACACTTTATGCTGTAGGTAAACTTAACTACTGTCCTCCCAACAGACCATATGCATGGTTGGACACCAAGGATATTTCATTTCCCTCCACAATTCTACTTCCCTGGGGCAGTTTAGAGAGAAATGTACCCGAATCTGTACCTTATTGCTTCTTCTTGCTAGTTACTCACATGTTTTACTTGTACAATTTAGCTTTCTAGTACTACAAAGCATCAGAAGCATCAACATTTAAAGATACAATCATCAACCCAAATGACATTTTCAACCAATTGCACTACACAGTGCTGTACCACCATACATTCCCTTCCCCAGTAGCTAGCTAGCTTATGGCCAGGGATGCTGGCCAACAGCTGGCCAGCGTCAGGGTGTTCATTAGAGACAACAGCACAGTGGTCAGCAGCACAGGCTTGAGAATCTGACACTCTGGGCAGAGCCCCTGCTTTGTCATTCCCAGATACATGAACTTAGTCAACTCACTCATCTCGCTAAGCCTATTTCCTCGTCTATAAAATGCAAGATACAGTATGTCAAAACCATGAGAAACCCTTAGCATAGAGCCTGGCACACAGTAAGTACTTAATAAATGTCAGCTATTACTATTTCGAGTCTCAGAACCAAGAGTGAAGCTAACTGCTCTGCATGGCAATCATTCACCACATTCTAGCACTGCCACCTTGCTCAATGGAGTAAACCTTTGAAGGCTGACGCTTCTCCTAGGACTGTGTTGCATGGCAGCAGAGTGACAGAAGAACCACTTTATCATGCCAGGTCCTAAAATGAGAAGATCATGATGGGAGAAGGTACTGGTGAACAGTTCATTTCAGATCAAGAGCATAAAAACAGAATCTTAGCACACATCACACATGGTTAAGAGCTCAAAATAAAGTCATAAAGATGGAGCAACCACATTCTGGTGCGAAGAGTGAGAGGTGGAGACCAAGAACAGACTTCTATGTGTGCCACCAAACAAACAGCAGCCTCTCCTTCCCTACACCATGTGGCTATTTCTGTATGCAGCTGAACCAGACTCAAAAGTTCTTTCAGGTTAGTCTGTTCTCATTCTTTCCAGCAGAACACTGAGCTTTCAGCGCACAGCTTCCTTTCTCTGAATTCTGCCAGACGCTTAGTCGTTGTGGATTTAATGCGTAGCATGGCTACACATTACTGTGGTAGCGATGTTAGCTGGTGTGCCTACAGTCGTTTCATCGTGCTTCTCTAAGAGCCCTCACTGGAGGGCTCCCCTCAACTGCCTGGGAGACTGTGCGTGTGTGCACATACCTTCCCTCTGGCATTGACTCCATCCTGTAAGACCCGCACACATGCAGCACTGGTCTCAGGCAGCGTTCATGTCTTACAGAGAGCAAGGATCTGGAAACAACCAGATTTGTTCCTGGTTTCTTGAAATTTCAAGTCCAAGAGAATGAGGAATGGAATTCCCTCCAAGTGCAAGGGAATCTATAGTCCAAAAAGGGGGGAAAAGGAGGGTGAGAAAATAAAGGATAATGGAAAGCCAGTTTTGAAAAAGTTAACCGAGGAGGGGCACCTGGGAGGCTTAGTTGGTTAAGTGTCCGACTCCTGATTTCAGCTGAGGTCATGATCTCACGGTTCACTTCAAGCCCTGCATCAGCCTCCACACTGGCAGCACCGAACCTGCTTGGGATTCATATTCTCTCTCTCTCCCCAACCCCCAGCCTCTTCTCTGCTCACTCATGTTCTCTCTCAAAATAAACATTTAAAAAAATCTTTAAAATAAAAAAGAAAATAGAAACAGTTAACCAAGGAAACCAGCATGACCTATGACAGGTGGGTATCAATGGCTCAATGAAATAGGTATAACAACCTTGATGTTGTCAGTGGTCAGGGTGGGCCATAGTGGGAAACAGAAGGGACTTTATAGGGAAGGAATTTATGATCTAAAAGGTGGACCTTTACGATGAAAGATTTTAGACTGGTTTTTAAAAACAGCAATCATAAAATAACATGATTAGCAAGGGCTATCCCTGTTCAGAACAGTCAGTGTGAAGTTGTGTAAATTCTCTTGGCGTTTTCTTTAGAACATGTAGCATATTCTTCTGAATAGATTTGATGGAATCAATTCCCATTTTGAAAGCTGACTTTGAAAAATAAGCCAAAAGTGACTCAATTCCAAGTCTGGTGAACAAGTGGGTAATGGCCAAAAACAAGATGTTATTCAAGAGTAAAAGTCTTCCAAATGTCAGGAGGAGTGGTAGCACTTCTGGAACAACCCAGACCACCAAATTTAAAGGGCAGATCGCGTTCGGATGCACAGGTTCTGGTGTGTTGCTTAAAATAGCCTTGTTACTTTATAGAATATCCCCTGGTATATGGAAAGTCTCAAAGAAGAAAGATCGTGCCTGGTGAGGAGTTAATATTGCGTTTCCACTGGTTTACGGATGCACACACACCGGAATTCAGAAGAGTGAGGAACTGTGAGGTGAGGTATTCGACAGACCACCGCTGTGCATTTATAAAGCTAATGGCGAGAGACAGATGGAGAATGAAGGGTGAGGAGCTAAGGCCATCTACGGAGGGAGGGCAAGGGTAGTGACAGCAGTGACAGACCACACCATCAGGGATTTGTGCAGACTGACAGGAGCCTGAGCGCAGGACTGTCACGGGCCAGAACAGATGAGGGGATGTTCTTTGTAAGGATTTTTAGTTCTTCTTCAAGCACCTGTCTCCCCTTTCGCCCACACGAGGCTGTAACCAGAACAGCGGAACAGTGTCCACGCCTCTATGCACCACGGCATACAGTGCGAAGGTGGAAAAGACAGCTGCAAGTCACCCAAAGGTACAACCACCCAAGCTCCAGAGCAGCTAGGCTAAGTCTCCACTCACCTCCTTCTCTGCTTCACTCCCACACATATCACTTCTTTTGCTGACACAGGTGCTGAGGGTGGGGGTGGTGAAGGACACGTATGGACGCTCAGTGACTCAGGGGAGTCAGTGAAGGTGATATATGAAGAAAAATGCTGGAGTGCTGTTAAAAATATAGCATTCTGAGTTTGCGTGGGAATACAGTTTTCCATTGACTATCAGGAACATTGGAATCAAATAACACGCACACTTAAGCATAAATACATTATGTGTCTGTAAAAAGTTCCCTAGAACTATGTTCTCAGAAAGCTAAATACCAATATAAGTCTCACAGGGAGGCTGCTTCACACTCTAAAGTAGCGTCTCAGAGCGGGTTAGGATGACAGTTGTGCCTGCAGGGAAATGAACAGGGGAAGGAGATCACAGGAGACGGGAAGAAGCAAAGGAACCGGGAGGAGCCCCTCTCAAACCTACAGCTACTCACCCGAAACACAAAATTAAGTGCCTCCACCACCAGCAAGCTGCTCAGATGCTACTTTGTTTCTAAAGGATGCATTAGGACCTCAGGAGCTCAGCTCCATCAGACACCTCCCGAGACAGTCAAGCTGATCCACCTGCATCACGGCACCGGCCCAAACTACTGAAGAGCTATTCTAACTCTGCCACTGCTATTGATTCTGACCCTAGGATCATGTTGTAGTGATGCCAAAGTTTCTGCCTTTTTACTTACACTGAAAGACATCACCAGCATGTGGATTCTCTAATGCTGAATAATGCCCAAACTAGGACTGTTGTTTTTCCCTAAACTCCAGCAGATTCAGATTTTTCTCCACTGTGGATTCTCTGATGCCGAATAAGACTTGACCTCTGAATAAAGGCTTTCCCACACTCATTACATTGATAGGGCTTCTCCCCTGTGTGAATTCTCAGGTGCTGTATGAGGCCAGTGTTCCCATTGAAGGCTTTCCCACATTCTTTACATTTATAGGGTCTTTCTCCAGTGTGGATTCTCTGGTGTTCAATCAGGCCTGACTTCTGACTGAAGGCCCTCCCACACTCATTGCATTTGTAGGGTTTCTCCCCAGTGTGGCTTCTCTGATGGCCAATGAGGTGTGAGCTCCGCCTGAAGGTTTTCCCACACTCCTCACACTCATAGGGCTTCTCCCCTGTGTGGATTCTCTGATGTCCAATGAGGTGAGAGCTATGGCTGAAAGCTTTCCCACACTCATTACATTCATAGGGTCTCTCCCCACTGTGGATTCTCTGGTGCAGAATGAGGCCCGCACTCTGACTGAAAGCCTTCCCACACTGATTGCACTGATACGGCTTCTCCCCAGTATGGATTCTCTGGTGCAGGATCAGGCCTGTGTTTTGACTGAAGGCTTTGCCACACTCCTTACAGTGATAGCGTTTTACTTTGTTGTGGATATCCTGATGGGAAAGAAGGGCTGACCTGTAACTGAAGGCTTTCCCACACACGTTACATTGATAGGGTTTCTCCCCAGTGTGGATTCTCCAGTGGCGAACAAGGCCTGAGCTCTGAGCAAAGCTCTTCCCACATTCATCACATTTATGCCGTCTCTCCTGCGTGGGATTTCCCCGCTGCCTCTCTAATCTGCCCAGAAGATCTCGAGCTTCTCCACGCTCATGACCCCCGATAACATCCCCGTTGCATTTGGCAGCTGTCTCTCCATGTGGTTGGACTCCAGTAGATATTACCTGTTTTGAAGCTAATTCCCTGTTCTCATTCCTGGTCTCACCACCTGAAATTAAAATGTGATAAACATCAAGTCAATGTCACTTTCTATTCTCCATGTTAGAAAGGAACAGAATATAAGGGAAAAGGAAAATACACATGGAAAAACTACCAGTAATCACACAGCTTCCATCTGTCTCCAAAATGTTACCATAACAGAGGGAGAGGAGAACAGGGTCAAGCTGGAAGGACCACAGGCCAAGTGGGGAAGAAGTGCATGAACACAGAGGTCTGTTGGGAGGGCACGAGAGCAGGGAAAGGATCACCCGAGGGGCAGCTGGGGAGTGGGTTGGAATACAGACGTACTGAATGACCTCCCGGGGCAGAAATGGGAAAAGCCCTGGCACTGAAAGGGAGGAGCATGACAGGCCTAAGGTCCCCCGGGGCTGGGCGCAGAGGACTCCCACTGGCAGACAGAACAGTGCCCACGGTAAGTCCTGGATCAGAGAATACAAGTCTGTGGGCCAGCGCTGTTTCTGTTAATACCTGACTTTAAACTTAAGGATGTCTTTCAGAAGGCTCACCGCTACCATCACATAACAAACAAACAACCTTAAGTGATGACAATAACCAGAGCTCTCCTTACCCAGGGAGAACATGTTTCTGTAATTTTCTGGCCTGTCATCTCTATGCAGATCCTTCTGTGATGGATCAAGAAGCCACTCCTCTCGAATTAGGGACACAGCCATGTCTTCAATCTTCTCCAGAGTCTGAAACAAAACAAAATCCCTATGTGGGACTGCCATTGTCCCACAGCTCAACCTCAGTGTCAGAGGTCCACCAGCATTGGGGAGGATCAAGGAGTGGGAACATACTGTGTAAAGGGATCTAAATAAGTGGGGAAAAAGAGGGAAATGCACCAGATTTACTGGGGGGAATGAAGAATCATGCACAAGTATTTGGAGCAAGCTCCTGGTGAGTACTGACTGCTACGGACAGTCCGGGTGCGTGGCAGACACCACCCGCCCTGCCGAACAGAGCTAGAAGCACTACGACTCACCTGCAGCCCTGCTGTGAGAAGTGTAGCCGTCATCTCCTGGTCCCCGGGACTTCCTTTCTGGGAAGGGGCAGGGCTCTGACAAGCAGAGACGGCTGAGAGGAGAAAGAAGCGAGGAATGAGACCAGCCCGGCTGCAGGAGGCAGCACTAACCCATTCCAAAGCTGTCTGCGTTTCAGAAGATATGCAAGTCAGAGATTTTGCACAAAAAGTGCTGAGCAGCCCCTGGCTGCCTCAGTAGGTGGAGCAAGCACCTACTGATCATCAGGTCATGAGTTTGAGCACCAGGTTAGGTACAGACTGCTTAAACATTTTTAAAAAATTAAAATGAAATATAAAATAAATTATATAAAATCAAATATAAGAAATCAAATCAAATCAAATCTGGTATCCTGGGCTGTGGGTCCACAATAATGGGTGCCCACGGGACACCTGCACTTTGACTTCCCACTCAGTGTGAAATTCCAGGTCAAAAATAGAGTACTGGTGCCCCACCAGGAACTTCTTCCCCACCAAACCTGTGTTCTATGCTTATGCTTTTGTACAGGATTTCTTTAGGTTCTGATCTCTTGGCAAATGGACTATGAGAACCGATCTACCTCTATTAACCCTACTACCCTCCTGAAACATCCACCACGACTGCCACTATCTGCTTCCTATAGATATCAGAGAGCACAACACCAAAATTAACAGACTGCTGTGTCTTGGGCAATACGCTTTAGAACTTTAGACAAGAATTATATTACTAACTGAAAATGTTTCTACGTTTCTTCTTTACAAATATTAAAAACCCATTTACATAGAACTGTTCTAAACCACATAAATGAAAGAAGAAACGCAGAGGAAGTACGAGATGACCTAGAATTATCTTGTTCTGCAAGAAGTTCTCAGAAAACGATGGGGAAATGTCAAAAGGGCACAGGAGCCAAACTGAAGGGGGCCTCCTCTGAATAAATCAGACACAATTTAAGCATCAAAATAAAGATAGTAATAAAATAAAGATAACTAAAGATATTTTATTTCTGGAATAAAGTAAGAATTTCTAAGTCCGTACTGACATATAAAATAAAATGGGGAGGAGGGGGAACACTCTGTATTACAAGTAAGTGCAGAAAGAATGACATAGTTAGAAAATCATCATTTGTAAGTCTTCATAATCACTGATTCAGTCCAGAAGCATCAACGATTACTAAAACCAGTATTTCAGCAACAAAAGTTTAATGAAGACCAGATATTTACACAGACTCGAGTATCTCCTCCACATATTACTTATTAATTATAAAGGGAAAAACAGTAACTTTACAATGAGTAACTCAGTCAAAATAAGCCTTTTTTTGAAAACGTGTACTTACTTTGAGAGAGTGTGCACAGCGGGAAAGCAGCAGAGAGGAGGAGAGAGAATCCCAAGCAGACTCTGTGCTGTCAGCACAGAGTCCGATGCAGGACTCAAACTCATGAACCATGAGATCATGACCTGAGCCGAGATCAAGAGTTGGACACTTAACCCACTAAGCCACCAAGTGCCCCAAACCTGGCAAAAATAACCTTAACCAAGTCCTCAAAGGTACCAATAGTAACAGGACAAATTCCTGTAATGCTGAGAAGGCTACAGCATCACTTCTGGGACGTTCCTGCCAAATATGCACAACTTGAATTTACACATAAGGAAACCTCACACAGACCCAAATTTTACAGCTATTCCATACAATAACTGACCTGTACTCTTCAAAAATGCCAGGGGCCTGAAGAGCAAAGGCCGAGAAACTATTTTTTAATTAAAAGAGTCTAAAGAGACAAGACAAATGACTGCAAACCTGGAATCTTGGACTAGACTCTGGAAGATAACTGGGGCAACTGGCAAAATATGTACATAAACTGTGGCCCAGATTAGTACAGTATCAGCATTACATTTCCAAATTGTGATGCCTTTATTGTGGCTATCAAAGAAAATGCTCTTGAAGATTATATTCTGAAATAATTACAAGTGGCATGATGATACCAGCAAAACCTCAAAAATGCCTATGTTGTTAATAAATTGGGATAACGTGGGTGGCTCAGTGGGCTGAATGTCTCACTCTTGATTTCGACCCAGGGTCATGGGATCAAGCCCCATGTCGGGGATCGAAGGGTAGAGTTGGCTTGAGATTCTCTCTTTCCTCCCTCTGACCCTCCCCGGCTCATGCTCTCATGTGAGCATGCATTTGCTCATGCATTCTTCCCTCCCCACCTCTCATTAGGCACCCAACTCTGGCCTCTGGTTTTGGCTCAAGTCATGATCTCAGTTAGTGGGATCGAGCCCCATCAGACTCCACACTGACAGCACGGAGCCTGCTTAGGATTCTCTCTCTCTGCTCCCCCGCCCCCACATGCACATGCTCTCCCCCCATCTCTCTCAAAACACATAACTTAAAAAAAAAAAACAAAACAAAACACTGGGAAGGCACCTGGATGGCTCAGTTGGTTGAGTATCCAACTTCAGCTCAGGTCATGCTTTCACAGCTCTTGAGTTTGAGCCCTGTGTCAGGCTCTCTGCTGTCAGCTGCAGAGCCTGCTTCAGATCCTCTGCACATACACCACTCCCCCACACCTCCCCTGCTCACTCTCCTTCTCTCAAAAATAAACACTTAAAAAATAAAATTAAATTGGGGCACCTGGGTGGCTCAGTCGGTTAAGCATCTGACTTCGGCTCAGGTCATGACCTCGCGGTTCATGGGTTCAAGCCCCACGTTGGGCTCTGTGCTAACAGCTAGCTCAGAGCCTGAAGCCTGTTTCAGATTTTGTGTCTCCCTCTCTCTATGACCCCCCCCTGCTCGCACGGTCTCTCTCTCTCTCAGAAATACAAACATTAAAAAAATTAAAAAAAAAAAATTAAAATTTAAAAAATATACTGGAGTAACAGAAATGTGCAAACATATAAAAATCTCCAAATTCTCTGATTTGTTCATGAATTTGCCAATGGGACTGATAGTCTGTATTTGAAGCCTAGATAAACACTTAAACTCAGATCTTAGGACTGGTTTATAAACAAAAATTCTAGTTCCTGGTTCTCCAGGAACTCAACAGGTACTTTCTTTTCTATTCCTCCCCCTCATCAATGAAATCTAACTCCTTACCCTTGTCTTGGGACCCTTGGGGCACTGGAGAGTTGTGCTGCGTTGCCATGGGTCGGAGCTGAGTATTCGGAAGCTCTGGTGCAGACTCTGAATGTACAACCTCCTCCCAGAGTCCATGACCATGTCCTCGGGCTGGGACCTGAAAACACCGGGGCAGCTGTATTACAAGAAATTCCTTTGCAAGAGGAAGCAAATAACATAAAAGGATCAAGAAGAGCACATCTCTAGGGACACATACTTGGGAAAGGAGGAAGCAGAATCTCACTTACTTCCTAGAGGCAGAACACAAATGTGTTGATTAGCACAGAAAGGTATCAATTTTGCACTCCCAAGGCATGGGAACACTGATAAACAGAAACTTAAAGCAGTGCTATTCCATAGAAAAAACTTTTGGAGGGGCGGCTGGGTGGCTCAGTTGGTTAAGCATCCAACTTTGGCTCAGGATATGATCACACGGTTCGTGGGTTCGAACCCCGCATCGGGCTCTGTGCTGATGGTTAGCGCAGAGCCAGGAGCCTGCTTCACATTCTGTATCTCCCTCTCTCTGTGACCCTCCCCTGCTCACACTGTTCCCTCTCTCTCTCAGAAATAAATAAAACATTAAAAAAACAAAACAAAACAAAAATTTTGGTAACAAACCAGGAAACCTTGGCTCTGGTCTCAGATCTACCTTTAGTTATGAGTGTCCAGAGTAACTGAAGTAATTCAGGCTCCCAACATACCAGTTTCCTACTTGGCAAAGATGAACAATTGTTGCAAGGATGTTATGAGGATAAAAAATGTATACATATTCTTTACAAAAATAAAAAGGACTCTACAAATATGAGCCACACCGCACTAGAACTATTCTTATCCTCACAAACAGAAACTGACAGCCAGCGTTCATTCCACTGCCATGGTGCCGAAGTCTATCCCCCCAGCTTCCACACACCCTGTGCACAGCATGCACACATCCTTCTACTTACTGGCCGTCCTAATATATCAATCTGCCTTTCCAAATCCTCCAGCAGGGTCACCACCTCCTCTCCGTTCTCTAGCTGATGTTCCTTAACCAGAGTCTGGAGCTCCTCAGGCAGGATGGTCAAGAACTGCTCTAGCACTAGCAGCTCCAAGATCTGCTCCTTGGTGTTCAAGTCTGGCCTTAGCCACTGATGGCAGAGTGCGCGGAGTTGTATCAGAGCTTCTCGGGGTCCTAATGTCTCCTGGTAGCATAACTTCCTGAAGCGCAGACGGAATAGCTCCTGGCCAGGAGGGTTATTTTCATGCAGACTAGATTCCTGGTCCCAGCCATGATCTTCCTCTACCTTGACGATTACAAGGTCTTCTTCAGGAGCTTGGTCTGGTGGGGATGAGGCTAACAACTTTCTTGATTCTGCTGCCATTTAGGGCTGGAAAAGCTCAGGAGGCTCGTTTCCACTACCTTTTCTATCTTCTTAAGAAGAACCTCCCAAAGGCCTCTTCTCTACGGGCAATTCTTGAGGAAGAGAAACCGTCAAACAATATTAAAGCAAATCAAAGGTCATAGTGATTTACTAAGACATCTTAACCTACCACAACACAGACTTCAAGGCTGTTATTTCAGTGATCCTCTCACTGTTCCAGAAGTAACACCTTACCTCTGTAGCTTTCTGCCATGCCAAATCCACCTGGGGGATATTCCCTTCCTTCTGCTTCCTCTCTTTGGGGATGGGGAATATGGCAAAACAAAGGCAGGAAACCATATAGACTAGGTCTAACTGAAATTCTGCATTTAATCTCAGCTGGCCTTCAGTTATGCTGATTTAACTCTCAGTATTTGTGACACTAGCTATACTGTTTCTACACACTTCACCTCCCAACCTATCATCCCTCATGCTCAACAGAGATTAATTTCTGTTCTTTTCTTTCTTTTGAGAGACAGAGAGAGAAGAGTGAGGGGCAGAAGGATGGGGGGAGGGAGAGAGAGAGAGAGAGAGAGAGAAGCGGGGCTCACCCAAAGTGGGGGTCAAGCTTGCTCAATGTGGGACTCAAACTGTAAGATCATGACCTGAGCTTAAGGGCTGAACCACCCAGGCTCCAAGAGGTAAATTTCTATACAATCTAGCTCAGGCTATTGTCCAGAATTCCTAACACAGAAGTCTTCTCCACTTAACATCCATTATACTTCTGTGTTCTCCATCTTCTCTCCTATGTCAAGGCTAACTACTTCTCCCATGGACCTTATCTTACTCTATAACTCTCTTTGGAGCAGTGGAGCTACCCTTCCAAGGAACCTAAATGCTCTATTTATACACACTAACGACTTCCAGAATGTTTTATAAATAAAATCATACAGTAGGTAGTCTTCTGAGTCTGGCATCTTTCACTTGGCATAATACATATGAGGTCATCAATGCTGTTGCATGTATTGGTAGTTTATTCCTTAGGGGGATGTATGTTTATCCATTCCTTGAGAGGTCTCTCAAGTCGTTTTCAGTTTTTGACAATTACAAATAAAGGCATTATGAACATCTGCACGTGAGGTTTTGTGTAAACATGTTCTCATTTCACCTAGGTAAATATCTAAAAGTAAAAGTGGTGGGTCACATGGCAGGTATACATGTAACTTTATAAGGAACTGCAAAACTTTTTTTTTTTTAATGTTTGTTTATTTTTGAGAGAGAGCATGAGCAGTGGAGGGGCAGAAAGAAGGGACAGAGGATCCAAAGCAGGCTCCATGCTGACAGCAGGGTCCAAAACTGTTTTCTCTCTCTTTTTTTTAAATTGTTAATGTTTATTTATTATTGAAACAGAGAGAAACAGACCATGAGTGGGGGAGGAGCAGAGAGATGAGACAGAGAATTAGAAGCAGGCTCCAGGCTCTGAGCTGTCAGCACAGAGCCTGACATAGGGCTCAAACCCACAAACCTGAGATCATGACCTGAGTCAAAGTCGGATGCTTAACTGACTGAGCCACCCAGGTGCCCCCAAAGCAGTTTTCTAAAGTAGTTATAACATACTGCATTCCACTAGAGATTCCTGAGAACTGGTTGCTTCCTATCCTAACAAGCAGTATTTGATATGGATTTATTTTTAATTTTAGATATTCTAACAAATGTGTAATGGCATCTCATTATGGTTTTATGTATTTATTTATTTATTTTAACCACTCCCTGGTATCTCACTATGGCCTTTTTTATTTTTGAGAGAGAGAGCAAGCAGGGGATGGACACAGAATGTGAAGCAGGCTCCAGGCTCTGAGCTGTCAGCACACAGACCAGTGTGGGGCTACCCCTGAACCATGAGATTGTGACCTGAGCCGAAGTCAGTAAATTAACTGATTGAGCCACCCAGGTGCCCACTCATTGTGGTTTTAATTCATATTTTCCTTCTAATTATGTAGAGCATCCTTTCACCTGCTTACCTACCATCTGTATGATCTTCTCTGGTGAAGTATCTGTTCAAAACCTTTGCCTGTTTTAAAAATTAAGTTCTTTTATTGAGTTTTGAGAATTCCTTATGTATTTCAGACAAGGCCATTATGAGACATAAAACTGTTACAGTTTTAGGTTTTACCTTAGGTCTATCTATGATCCATTTTGAGTTAATTTTTTAAAGTAATCTCTACACCCAATGTGGGGCTCAAACTCATGACCCCAAGATCAAGAATCACATGCTCCACCTACTGAGCCACCCAGGCATCCCAAATTTTGAGTTAATTTTTGCACAGAGCTTAAAGTGTGGATGGAGTTTCGTTTTTTGGAACACGGGATACCAAACTGCTCTAGCACCGTTTTCAAAACGATTACCCCTTTACCCAGTGAATTATCTTTATATCTCTGTCAACAATCAATTGACCACATACGTGTGGGTTTATTTCTCTAATCTCTATTCTGTTCCATATTTTAACCTATATCTTTACCCTTTACCCCAAGCAGAATTGTCTTGAATATTGTGGCTTTCAAAATTTTAAAATCAAATATTAAGAGTCCTTCAACTTTGTTGAATATTTTCAAAATTATTTTGACTTTATTTATTTATTTTGAGACAGACAGAGACAGCGTGAATGGGGGAAGGGCAGAGAGAGAGGGAAAGAGAGAGAGAATCCCAAGCAGGCTCCACACTGTCAGGAGACAGCTTGATGTGGGGCTTGAACTCACCAAACTGTGAGATCATGACCTGAGCCAAAACCAAGAGACAGACACTTAATCAATTCAGCCACCCAGGTGCCCCTCTTTTTTCTAATTCCATTGCCTTTTGATATAAATTTGTACCAACCCATCCCCCGATCCCCAGAACTCGATTTGTGCTGAATCTATAGCTCACTGACATTTTAATATCCATTCTATAGTCTATCTCTCCACTTAAGTCCTCTCTGATTTCTTTCATTAGTGCCCAAACCACCTATTCTTAAAGGACAAGATACAATATTTTCTCCTTTAAAATCTTTTTTTGGGGTACCTGGCTGGCTCAGGCAGGAGAGCAGGCAACTCTTGATCTTGGAGTCATGAGTTCAAGCACCACATTGGAAATAGAGCTTAGTTTAAATGAGTAATTTTTCTACAGTTATGTATTATTAGCTGTAAAAGAATTTTGACTTCCTAACTTAATTGTATGTTCCCTAGGAGTAAAGATCTGTATCTTTTATTAAGAAAATCAAAGATCATTTGGGGCGCTTGGGTGGCTTAGTCGGTTAAGCGTCCGACTTTCGCTTAGGTCATGATCTCGCGGTTCGTGGCTTCGGGCCCCTGTGTCAGGCTCTGTGCTGACTGCCAGCTCAGAGCCTGGAGCCTGTTTCAGTCTGTGACTCCCTCTCTCTCTGACCCTCCCCTGCTCACGCTGTCTCTCTCTCTCTCCTAGAAATAAAAAAAAAAACATTAAAAAGAAAATCAAAGATCATTCAAGGGGTATTATTTATAATATCTAACAGAAAATATATTTGTATTTGTTTAAGAGCAAGATTCAAATACAAGACCTATAGGTCTAAAGAGTTTATTAAAGGGTCCTATTTCTCTGTGGGACTGGTCTATGGCCTTTAGCTTTGGTAACACACATCACCTCTCATCTGCACTTGCAGTGGTTAAGGTCTTCCTGCCTTTGGCTATTCTTTTCTCTCATTCATGTTCCACACAGCTGCCTGTTGTAGTCTGAACTGTGTCCTCCTGAAAGACATGCTGAGGTCCTAACCTCTGATACCTGTGAATGTAATCTTATCTGGAAACAGGGTCTTTGCAGATTTAATCAAGTTAGGATGAGGTTATACTGGAGTAGAGTAGGTCCTTAATACAACATGACTGGAATTCTTTTAGGAAAATAAGAAACAGAGATTGAGATATACAAAGACACATGTGAAGACACAGGCACAGAAGAGAGTTGTGCAACCACAGAGGCAGATAAGGAGTTATGCAGCTACAAGCAAGGAATGCCCATAGCAACCAGAAATTAGGTCAATGTGGTTCTGCTAGCATCTTTAAGGTTTTTTTTAATGTTTACTTTATTTTTGAGGAGAGGGTACAAATGGAAAAGGGACGGAGAGAGGAGAGAACAGAGGATCTGAAGCAGGCTCTGTGCTGGCAGCAGAGAGCCCAATGTGGGGCTCAAGCCCATGAACCACAAGATCATGACCAGAGTCTCTGTCAGAAGCTTCACCAACTGAGCCCCCAGGTGCCCCGCCAACATCTTGATTTTGGACTTTTGGTCTCTATAGCTATGAAAGAAGATATTTCTGTTGTGATAAGCCACCCAGCTTGTGGTACTTTGTTACAATATGTTACCCTATGAAATTAACCTTTCTACAAAGACTGTTTTAATAAATATGTAATATAACTCATCACTTTAAAATCTTTTGAAAGGGAGCCCACCTCTTCAGCATGATATGCAAGGCCTTTTATGCTATATAAGCCTGCCTACCTTCATCTGCTCTAAGCTCACCTTCACATAGTTTTTCCAAAAGGGGCTTTCTTTAAGCTCCACTCTACTACAGAGCTCTTTATTCTAGCTCGGTGGTTTTCAACCAGGTCAATTTTACTCCCCTCTCCCAGGGACATTTGGCAATGTCTGAAAACATTTCTGGTTGTTACAATTAAAGGGAAGGGATGCTACCGGTATCTAGTAGGTAGAAAACAAAGATGCTACTAAACGTCTTATATGCATAACATAGACTCCACAACAAAGGATGATCTGTCAATGCCAAGGTTGATAAATCCTGGCCTAGCTGAAACCATCAACTCTAACTTAAAAGTCTCACCTTACCTACTACCTTTTTCATGAGGTCTCTGTCACTCCCACTCTGACCTGCCCCCACCCACAAGGAGATTAAGGTGCTCATTCTTGCCAAGGCATTTTATACATGGTCCAAATAGAGGATTTATCACATTGTGTAGGTACTGTAAATGTGTGCCCACGGACATGGTTTTCTTACAAATGTTTGTTTATGGCAGTCATCTTCTGCTCTCTCTTATAAAACAAGTTTTATTACATATTTGTTTTCCAGAAAGATCACAAAGGCAGCACTACAGACAATGGAAAAGAGCACAAATGAAGGCAGCATATCCAAAAGCAGTTGGCAAGATATGAAGACGATAAAACCACAGGCCTATAATCCTTAAAGAAAGAAGAGAGACAGGCCCTTAGGAGGATAATCAGATTATATCTACTTCCTGACATGAGTCCAAAGCAGTGCCTCTTTCAGGAGTTTTTTTTCTTTGGGGGAGGGGGGAGGGGGGTAGGGATAGTTCACAGTCACTGCAATCAAATGAAAACAGAGCTTCTCCCTAGAAAAAAAGTACACAGGCACAAAAGTTTACATTCAATTTCAGCACAGTTCACAGACCTGATGCCCATGCACAGACTCCAGGGACATTAAGTACCTTACTTAGAGGGACACCAGGCTGGCTCAGTGGGAACGGCATGCGATTCCTGGTCTCAGGGGCTGAGTCTGAGCCCCACGTTGCAGGGTAGAAATTACTGAAAAATATATCAGGGCACCTGGGTGGCTCAGTTGGTTAGGCATCTGACTCGATTTCAGCTCCGGTCGGTTTGAACCCACAGTTCGTGAGATCAAGCCCTGCGCTGGGCTCTGTGCTAACAGCAGAAAACCTGCTTGGGATTCCATCTCTGCCCCTCTCCAGCTCACACACCTCTCCTTCTTTTTCTAAAAAATTAAAATTAAAAAATAATAATAACACACACACAGGCATAAACCTAAAAAAACAGGAACAAAAAACAATGCTTAGCGTATGGACAGAAAAGGAAGAAAACTGGAAAATTATCTTTAAAATAAAATTAGATATGGCTGAGAACAATAGTTTGGGGAGTAAACTACTAATACCAAGAACAAAGGAGTAAGAGATAGGGTTAAATATGGTGTCCAACATCAGAGAGTTTAATACATCAAGATTTTATAGAGAAGCAGGGGGATTTCCTGGAATAGTGAGGGCTGGACGAATCTGGGCAAGAGGTTGAGATTTTGTGGAGAATTTGAGACAAGGGGTAATCATTTTTGTTTTGAACACCCAGGATTAATATCCATGGTCTTAAAATAATTTTTAAAAACTCAATTAAAAAAAGTCAATTAGGGGGCACCTAGGTGGCTAAGCTGGTTAATCCTCCGACTTCAGCTCAGGTCATGATCTCTCAGTTTGTGAATTCGAGCCCCGCGCAGGGCTCTGTGCTGACAGCTAGGAGCCTGGAGCCTGCTCCACATTCTGTGTCTCCCTCTCTCTCTGTCCCTTCCCCGCTCATACTGTCACTCAAAAACAAACATTAAAAAATTAAAAGAAAAGAACTTTATATTGTTTAAGATATTAAAGTAAATATAACACATTAACATCATAGTAAATAATGTTAAATAATGTCTCAATAGTGAAACCCAGAGAAGTCATCTAATTATCAGGTCTGTTCACAATTTGTACGAAATCAGCCAACCAGTCTTGTCCTTTTTCTACCCTGATTTTTTTAAATATAATTTTCCACTTTTTAGTCTCTTCCTTCTCCAGTCAAGGTTTCGACAATTACAACCTATAACTAATCAAGTACAAAGATATGGACAATATTAGTCTAGTATGTATCTTCCTCTCAGTTTCGTGTATACACATCTGTATTGAGTTGGTAAAGACTGCTTCTTATGTCCTCTTTTAGGAATACCTGATCAAGGGGCGCCTGGGAGGCCCAGTCAAGCACCCGACTCTTGATTGTGGCTGAGGTGGTGATCTCCCTGTTCACAGGTTTGAGCCCCACCTAGGGCTGGCTCCATCTTGACAGAGCCGAGCCTGCTTGGGATGCTCTCTGCCCCTCCCCCGCTCTCAAAATAAAAATAAACTTTTCAAAAAAGAATACTTGGTCAAGTTTATTAATTTAGAAAGTTAAAACAGTCAACCTGTACAGAGTCTTCTGATCTCAAATGCTACATAATCCAGTGATCTACTAAAGGCACAACTCAGACTTTAAAAGCACTATTTTCTTAATAGATGAAAAGGAATGCTTTTCTTCCTTCAGACTGATGAAGTCTACTTTGGGATGTCTGAGAACAGAAAATAAAACAAAACCAGAAAGAGACTGTCCAGGCTTTAAAGATCAAGAGAAAAACAGATGAAGCAAAAACTGTGCTTTATAGCTATCAAAGTGATGGAGCTGGTTTTAATATCCGCCACACTTCACCTTCACCACAGATTCAAATTCTTATGCATTTGTTAAAACAACGATTCCTGAAAAATATACTTGACTGAGCTAATCAAACAACAGGAATATGGGTTGTCTTCAGGTGTGGTAGTGGCGGTCTTACTGTTGCCTGACAAAAAACTACTCCTGAGTGATCTGTTTTGGGAATGGGGCCCCTCCATTAAAAGGGATCCCAGGCATCCACTTTAGCCGGCCTTGAGAACAGAGTGAGTACTCAGAGTAAGGCTGAATTCTCTATTACCCCAAAGTTGTGACCCATGTGTTTTTTGTGCAATTACTCAGCCCACCACCGTGTTCTGCATACACTACGAAGAGCAGACTGCATTAACAGCAAACACAATTCGGGGCTTCCAAAAGCAAAGTACTGCTTACAAAAAAATAAGAAGAAGAAGAAGAATTTTTTTTTTTTTTTTTTTTGGTATCGTGAAGGAAATGCAAAATTGCTGAGTAAAAACAATTCGGATCATGGAAACAGCTGCACAAAAGATAACGTGGGGGCGGTTTTCCATTTTAAAACAAAATAGCACCACAAAAAGATGAGGGGTATGAAGAAACCGAGGGTTCGGGGACGCGCCGCCCGCGGACCCTCAGGCCCGGGCCCCGTCAGTCCCTCGCGCCCACCGCGTCCGCTCCCCGCTCCCCCACCCCCGCGGACCCCAGTCGCCGTCAGTCCCCGGCGCCCCCAGCGGACCCTCAGGCCCGGCCCGGCGGCGGCCTACTCTGGCCCACAAAGCGCTCCTCTCCTCCGCCCGGAGCCCGGCCCGTTACTCACCGCGAGTTCCGGGGGCGGCCCGGGGCGGGGAAGGGAGGCTGCAGAGGGCCGACGGACGGACCGTAGGGGCGGCGGGGGGGAAACCGGGGCGAGAGCTGCAGCCGGACACGGGCCCGCGGGCCTCTAACTTCCAAACCCGCTGAGCTACAACCTCGACCGACGCGCATCTTGTCGGGAGGCACTTCCGGAAGCTCTCTAGGAACCTGGAGGTCTGGAAGCTCTATGGCCGGCGGGCTAGGGGGACCGGCGCCCCGCCCTCCGCAGGCCCCCGGCTCGCCGGCGGGCGGGCGCCTCGCGGTGCCAGGCGGGAGTCGGGGCGCGGTGCAGGCTCGGGTCCTGGCGGTGCTCACGACTGGGCGCGCCTCCGGGCCTCCGGCACAGACGCCAATCGCTTGAGGAATTACTGCCCCTCACGGTTCACAGCCTTTTGAATCCCCTTCGGCGCCCAGTAAGAGTACACCTTGTACTGTTGTGTGCTCACCATCATTGTAGGGCCTCCTGGATGGCTCAGTTCGTCGGGTCAGACTCTTGGTCTTGGTGGGGTCATGATCCCAGGGTGGTGGGCTCCTTGCTGAGTGTGGAGCCGGCTGAGGTTCCCGTCTCACTCTCTCCTGCCCTTCCCCCACACTCGCGCTCGCGCGCTCTCTCACCTCTCTCTAAACAAACAAACAAAAACCCCCAAAACATTGTAATTGAGAATAAATTCTCTCTGAATCTTACATCTGTTCAGCCCTTTCCTATCTTACTGAATTGCAATCTTTAAAGCCAGCTTTGTAGCTTAGCTTTTCAAATGCTAAATCCGGGAGGGAAGCTTCACTAGTGGACCCTTGTTTTAATACCACAAATCTATGTTCACATCTACATTCTTTCTTTTGTTGACCGAGAGAAAGCCAATCTCAAAGGTTAGTAGGGGCTTTGTTTTAGTCATTGTCTTACTGAGACACTATTTCAGATGCTGTGAACAGCCGCTCCCTGCTTTTAGCTTACAGGGAACCTATACAAAACTGGGAAGAGTACACCTGCTTGCAAGCAGTGCTCCAAATCCTTGCACGTACAGGGTATCATTGGTTCACTTGTAAACGTTAAGATTTACTGACTTCACATAGGTGTAAATCTTAATTTACATGTCGTCTTAACGCATTATGTTTCTATCACATTTGATCAGAAGTATTGCCTGCAGGCCTGTGTTCCACTGTTTTTCTGGTTCTTCCTGTTCTGGGGATCTCCTTGAAGTCACTTGAGACTTTTACAGAAGGCTGACATTAGTCACCTACTGCAGTGTTAGTGTGCACTTTAATACCTATTGTATTAAAGTTTTAACTTTTCAGACAAACTAGGATTTGGGGATGGGGATTGAGCAAAGTGTCTTATTTGTTTAATCCCCCCTCCTATTCTGATTCCTTCAACATCTTTCCTAAGTATTCACTTGTTCTGAGTTGTCAGGTGCCCCTCCAATCTTCACCTTAATTTCCCTCCTTTACCTGTTCCTAACGATAGCCATCATCAATGTTTCTATCCAGTCCTCAGCCTGAACCGGAAAATATTTTGTCCACCCATCAGGACCAAATCTTAGTAGTTTTATTTGTTTTTAGAGTTTTTTCCCCCCATCTAATCATCACAATGAAACAAATAACAATAAACACTGAAAAGTTACAGTGTTTCTAGACTCTTTCAAAACTCTTATTTTTGCTCTTTATTTTATAGCTCTTGCCTCCCAGATGGGATGGTAACTGGAAGTAACTGGCAACAGACTGGAACCCTGCTCTTGGTTTGTTTAAGTTTATGTCTTTATTTGGGGGGGGGGGTGCAGAGCAAAAGGGAAAGAGAGAATCCTAACCAGACTCCTTTCCATCAGCACAGACCCCAATGTTGGGCTTAAGTCACGAACCATGAGATCATGACTTGAGCTTAAATCGAGTCAGCATAATGATAACAGATAAAATTGCTAAATCTGACTTAACCAAACTTCAAATCTTCTGCTCAACAAAAAGCGCCATTAAGAAAGTGAACAGAGGGTTGCCTGGGTGGCTTAGTCGGTTAAGCGTTCAACTTTCGCTTAGGTCATGATCTCACGGTTCGTGGGCTCGGGCCCCACATCGGGCTCTGTGCTGACTGCCAGCTCAGAGCCTGAAACCTATTTCAGAGTCTGTATCTCCCTCTCTCTCTGACCCTCCCCTGCTCATGCTGTCTCTCTTTCTCCTAGAAATGGAAGGGAAGGGAAGGGAAGGGAAGGGAAGGGGGGAGGGAGGAAGGAAGGAAAAGAAAGAAAGGAAGGAAGGAAGGAAGGAAGGAAAGAAAGAAAGAAAGAAAGAAAGAAAGAAAGAAAGAAAGAAAGAAAGAAAAGAAAGAAAGAAAGAAAACAGAAGGGGTGCCTGGGTGGCTCAGTCGGTTGAGCATGCGACTTTGGCTCAAGTCATGATCTCACGGTCTGTGGGTTGGAGGGCTCTGTGCTGACAGCTCAGAGCCTGGAGCCTGCTTTTGATTCTGTGTCTCTCTCTTTCTCTGCCCCTCCCCTGCTTGTACTCTGTCTCTCTCTGCCTCTCAAAAATAAGTAAACATTAAGAAAATTAAAAAAAAAAAAAAAAAGAAAGTGAACAGAGAAGCTACAGCTGGAATACATATTTCTGACAACTGGTACACGGAGTATGTAAAGGACACTCACCACTCAATCATAAGAAGACAAACCAGTATAAGTAGGCAAGAGATTTGAGCACATACTGTACAAAAGAAGATTTTTGAATGGCCAATGAGTACATGAAAAGGTACCCAATATCATATAGGGAAACATAACAAAAATCACAACAAAACATTAAAACCACTACATGTCCATTAGAATGGCTAAAATTAAAATGTCTAACAGCACCAAGTGCTGGCGAGGCTATGAAGCAACTGGAACTCTTACTCACTGCTGGTGGGAGTTAGAATGGTATGCTAATGTGAACTGGCCATTTTTTTTTTTACTTTTTTTTTTTTTTATTTATTTCTAAGAGAGAGAGAGAGACAGTGTGAGCAGGGGAGGGTCAGAGAGAGAGGGAGTGACAGACTGAAACAGGTTCCAGGCTCTGAGCTGGCAGTCAGCACAGAGCCCAACGCGGGGCTCGAACCCACGAACCGCGAGATCATGACCTAAGCGAAAGTCGGACGCTTAAGCGACTAAGCCACTCAGGCGCCCCTGAACTGGCCATTTTTAATGAAGTTAAATAATACCTGCATTATGACCCAGTAATCTCACTTCCAGGCATTTACCTAAGGGATATGAAAACAGAAGTCCATAGCAGCTCTATGTATAAAAGGTCCAAACTGGAAAAACACAAATGCTCATCAATAGGAGAGTAGAGACTCAAAGTGTAATGTTCATACAATGTACACTACTCAGAAATAAAAAGAAGCTACTAATAGATGAATAAAGTGGATGAATTTTAAAAATATGTTGGTGGGGCACCTGGGTGGCACAGTCGGTTAAGAGCTAGACTTTAGCTTAGGTTATGATCTCATGGTCCATGGGTCCAACCCCAGCATCATGCTCTGTGCTGACAGCCCAGAGCCTGGAACTTGCTACGGATTCTGTATCTACCTCTCTCTCTGCCCTTCCCTTACTCACGCTCTGTCTCTCTCTCAAAAAAAAAACATTAAAAAAATAAAAAAAATACATTAAATAAAATAAAAATATTATGTTGGGAGGGGTGCCTAGGTGGCTCATTTGGTTAAGCAGCTGACTCTTGATTTTGGCTCAGGTCATGATCTTACAGTTCATGGAATTGAGCCCCACATAAGGCTCTGTACTGACAGCTTGGAGCCTGCTTGGGATTCTTTCTCTTCCTCTTTCTCTGCCCCTTCCCTACTTCCTCTCTTTCTCTCTCTCCCAAAATAAATAAATAAACTTAAAAAAAATTTATTTTGTTGGGGATGCCTGGCTGGCTCAGTTGGTAGAGTATGCAACTTTCAATCTCTAGGGTTGTGAGTTCAAGCCTCATGTTGGGCATAGAGCCTACTTTAAAAACAAAAAGTCAGTAAAACTAAATAGTACTTTTAGTGTTATGGTGTGGAAAACACCAGGCCTCACTCCTCCATTCCCTGCCAATATCTATTCCCTAGAGATAGCCACTTAACTCTTTCCTTTTACTTTTCATGTTAACCTCCATATTTATAATGTACCAACACTGCCATTTCTTGATTTTTCATATATAGATATTCTATATTATGCATTAGTTTCCTACTATGGAAAAAACATTTAATTCTTTTAAGTTTATTTATTTATTTTGAGAGAGAGACAGAGAGATCAGGGGAGGGGCGGAGAGGGAGAGAGAGAATCCCAAGCAGGTTCTGCACTATAAACAGAGCCCAGTGCAGGGCTTGAACCCACAAATGGTGAGATCATGACCTGAGCCAAAATCAAGAGTCAGATGCTTAACCAACTGAACCAACCAGACACCCCAAAAAAGCATTTAATTTTTTAAACCACTACTAGAACTAGCCGCACCAGGGATCAGAGAACACAGAAACTTCCTGAGTTGCTAAGTCCAACAACAGCAGCAGCCCCACGAAGGCACAAAAGCGTTAGACTCCAGTTACTTGTGCTTTTCCCATTTCTATAAGCAGGGGACAGGTTTCTATTAATGTTACCAGATGGAGAACCATTTCCAAACTTAGTGTCAGCTGCTTGCTGCTCAAAAATCTGTAGTCAGAGACAAGTGATTGTGGGAAAGGAAAGTTTGCTTTAGTCAAGAGCCGGCAACCTGGGAAGACAGTGGATTAATATTTCAATGACGGTCTTCTCTGTCCAGGTGAGGCTGGAGAATTTTAAAGTAGAAGGCATGGGAAAGGAAGGGGGCTACACACAGGAAAAGCAGGTGCCCACATGGTTAGTCATGTGTGGACATGACCCTGAACAGACTCACTGGCATCCGCCACAGCTGTTTTCCAATGCAGTCAGGCTTTGTCCTCTGGGTCCTTCACTCCTCAAGGCCAGTGGTCCGCAAATCTCAAGGAAAATAGAATATTTCTGCCACAGACCAAAGGACTAAGGTCAGCAAGCAAGGAGTGCATAAGCTTGAAGCAAATTTACCCTTGAGATCAGTTGGAGTGCTGTTACAATAACACTCCAAATATTTTCCACACCTAGAACCTCAAAGGTGTTCCCAGATTCTCCTCAGTTGCTCTGCATTTTA